GAATCGGAAACATCCTTCTCAGAGGCAAGTACGACTTTCCTTGCCTTAAATGACCGAACGAATACCATTCAGGGCACATCATTGGTTGGGGATCTTAGTCGAGTCCGTACGACTCCCCCCCCCCCTTCGGCCGTCGAGCGGGGAGAGGGGGTATATAGTACGAATGAAATAGGAAAATCATGAAAAAGTCAACCACCATTCCTAGAAAAGCCAGAATGTAAATACGACCCCCTCCCCAACAATCAGCAAGTACGACCCCCCCCCCGCTCGACGGCCCGGAGGGCGGGGGTGGTCGTACCAACCCCCAAAGAAAGGGGGAGGAGTCGTACGGACTCGACTAAGATCCCCAACCAATGATGACGTCCGTGAAGCGAGAAAATCAACTATCAAAATAAATTTTTCTCAGCATTGCGACCCCCCTCTCCTGGCGGCCAAATACGACCCCCTCCCTGTTGGGGATTCCCCAACAGCGATGTGCCCTAATACCACCTCCTCGCTCACCGTACGAAGTGCCCTGACCGCAGTGTTATGCGGCATTATTTGCCTCCACGCCACCCCTTCTTTTTATGTAGTCATTTAGATGTAGCAGTTTTTCTTTCGAAGAATAGGCGCTTACTCAATGCTTTCAGAAAGTAACGCTCCCTCCAACGCCAGATGAACCAGAAGTGCCAGAAGATGTGCGAAAAGCTCAGGAGAAGAAAGCAAAGGCTGAAAAAGCTCAGGGGCCTGAACAAGAAAAGGATATCATGTTTGAGAGCATGGACTTTGAAAGGCTCGAAGAGGTCCCAAAGTATTAAAAGTTGTTATCAAAGTCTTGTTTATCGCTTGTAGTTGTTAACTAGTTCTGAACTTTGATACTGGTACAAAGTTGTTACGTGTGCTTATTTTGTTGTTATTTTTTGAATTATCCCACGACGCTGTTAGTTTTCTACTACCGATTGTACAGTCTTGTTCTCTTCGGGAGCCGGGGCGTGTCAGTACTGGGTTTGGCGCGGCACCAATCCGCCTACCTCCGACAACCAGCGGTGGGAGCCGGGCTGACGCCGCACTAAGCCCGGAACCTTGGCGCGCCCCAGCATCCGCAGCGAGGAAGACTATGTTATGTATAGGACAGCTGAAAATTAAGAAATTCGGTGTTTTTAAGGTAATTTCTGAGTGGCATGTCATCACCATCTAATTGTTTAAGTGGTCTCATTCAAGTTGAAAACGGTTTCATACGTAATAATCTCAATTTTTCAAAATAATTTACATACTTTTATATAAGGAATGTCTGAAAGTGATGGTATATATTTCATTGCTTATTACTTTTGTTCAGTACATGTGGTTACAAAGAATGAACGTAATACGGTTTGATTTTGTCGCTGCGTTGACTAAGCGATTTGCGCTGAAATACTGAATTTAATTTCTCCGACGAGGTGAACTCGTAAGTTCTATGTGGCATGCATCAAACATTTCACGCCGGTTCAAGTAACTCGGCGCTGTTCGGCTTAGAGGGGGGGGGGGGGCATTTTGCACTTTGATTGCTTCGTTTGGACTACACGTCACCCTTTGGTGAGAGCTGAAGTGTTGTCGAGTGCAAACGAAGTTCCTGCTAGGCATGGCTTCGTGGAAATTTAAAGATCCATACAGGAGGCGTCGGCAGTGAACCAGCAAAATACCCCCCCCCCCAGATAGCCTAATTGCGGCAGTTACTCTGCTTCTTATGTACCAATGAAGCGATTTCATTTGCAATGGCACAGTAAGACACTTATGATTGCTGTCATTGGCCAAATCGTAAGAGAATCATTTAAGCTGAGGGCGCAGTATGGATTGACAGCTTATTGATACGTCTTATCGGGACCACCCACTTTTTTGCAAGGTAGGCTATTCAGTCAAAATCATCACTGAGGAACTGAGGGCTCTAGCAGCCGTGTTAGGACTTTGCATTTATTTACGGACTGTATTCATAACAGAGCAGGCGGCTTTGCTGGAAAACACGCCTCAGTTATGCTCTACTAATGTAAAGCTGATGTGATGCAGTGGCAGATGGTATGCTTTCCACGCCCGCGATCCGTAGGTCAAATCCCTGAATTGCAGCACTCAGGCCAACCAAGCCTTCTTCCCCTAGGGGCGGTAAATTGGTTCTAGACAGAGCACCTTGTACTTTGGAGTGGTTCCTTGGTCGTTGGAGGGAGGGATGTGGTATCTGCCTTTGAGAAGATGTTTTCGGTTGTGGACTTTTCTCTCTTTTTTCCCGCTTCAAGTATCCCTACACCCAAAGTAGAGGATTTTCGGAATTTCGGAGAAATACTTCGGCACCGAAAAAGTGGTTAAAAGGTAGGCTAAGGAGATGGGAGGTAAGATCGGAAATGTGGAAGAGGTCGTACCAGCAGAGCAAGTTTTGAGGGGATCGTACATTACCAAATTTCTCTCAAACGGCAGAACGTGCCCTGTTACCAAGTTCGTCTGGGAGGCTGAGAACACCGAATTGCGCCTTGGGTCGCCTCGCACTCATGAGCAACTACGATTCCGAATGGATATAGAGTGGGCGCTGAATCCCAAGAAGGACTGATCTACAACGAAAACTTTATTCTTTCTGGTGCTACTGTAGTAAAAAAACAAATTCATATGTACAATTTAGGAAATCAAACATTAAAACATCATTATTCATATAGGTGAATAAGTTTTCATAGGTCCAAATCGTTCTCGGAAGAAGATGAGAGTGATATCTTCTCGTCGCTGTTGTTAAAGTTCTGAGATGGGAAGGTGGGTGGCGTAGGATAGTAGGCCATCTGGAATGAGCGTTAGTTGAAGTCTTTAATCCTCTCATTCGGAGGTTGACCTTTCTATTTCCGTAGTGAAACTGAGTATTCTTGTAAACATACCTGTGATCCCCAGTAGACCTGTGAGTAGTTTTGGGTTTGCTGGAAAGTGATGTTGGAAAGGGGAACTGTGGTGCCATTCTGGTGCATCAACGGTAAGTCTTGAATCCTGAATTTGGATGTTGAATTCGAGAGGACATTGAGGTCAACGGTGCGCTTCAACAATTCATATCAAGGTTTTACTCCCACTACGCTGCTTACCCCGTTCGTGGAGTGGGCGTGGCAGCGTACTTCATTTGAGCTTTGTGCGTAGGATGTGTTTCTGATGGAATGATTGGCATGTGAGAATTTACATGTTGTTCTGTGCTGAACAAAGACATGACTGTAGTTGTCCCGGAACCAAAATTTTCTACCAAATCGCTGCTTCCCCTTGGAAGATGAAGTACGCAGCCGCACCCTTGCCCTCTACGAGTTGTTAAGTGTACCTTACGCTTATTTTGGAAAAAAAAAACGATATCTTTCTCCAAAG